TTGCTTTTTTCAAGATTCAATTTTTAGAATGTTCTGGGTGTTAAGAATGTTAGCTTTCTGGAAAAGCATGACCATGAATTTTTTCGCTGCTGTAAGTCTCTGGGGAAGCTGATTGTTTTTAAAGAGTTACGCGTTTTCCCAGGAGGATTCCCAAAGGCATACTCCTTTCCAAGGCACTTTTGGAATATTTCATTTTGGTTATTAGTCCCTTTAACACAGGATTGTTACTCTCAAATATGCAAAGCCTGTGAACCACTTAAAAAGGACAGCCACAGTCAAATTTTTTAGAGGCAAAATGTAGTTGGAAAAAAATTTCCTGGTTATTTCCCCAAGCACTATGTGTGAGTAGTAGTTAATTGACATGTCTATGTCTTCAACATCAATTATTTTTAAGTTGGAAGTATACGGTATAAAGAGAAATCTTTATTTGTATTTTAGATTGGGAGGAATGATAGAGTAACAGTAGTCCCAGGGAAGGTAGGTTTGTCCCAATGCCATCACCCTCTACCTCTTCTTTCCCTCTTGGTTGTGTGTGTTGTGAGTGTGTACCGTGTTGCTGTGCCCACAGCTTGGCCACTGAATATTGTCATGGAATCCAGTATTAGAATGTATAATGAGTATATATAGGGAGAAATAATGGGTACAGAACTTGACTTATTTCCAAGGGGCATTAGGTGATTTAGAACATGATCTCTAAAAAAGTATCTCAATGTTGAATATTGTGTTACTTAAAATATATAGTGAGTTATCCTTAGGATGCCTTATAAAGCTAAGAAGAATCTGAAGTGCTAATAAGGGGCGCCTGAGTGGCTCAGATGGTTAATTGTCTGCCTTTGGCTCTAGTCATGATCTCCGGATCCTGGGATTGAGCCCCACATTGGGCTCCCTGCTCAGCGGAAGCCTCTCCTTCTACTGCTCCCCCTGCTTGTGCTCTCTTACTCTCTCTGTCAAATACATAAAATCTTAAGAAAAATAAAGTGCTAATAAAATGAAATGACCAAATATGTAATTATTTTACTTTGTTGTATATTTGTGTGCATGAATGTGTATGTGTCTGCTCATGTGCTGGTAAGTGTGAGTGTGTGTGTGTGTGTAACTGTGTGTGAGTATATATACACATACTTGTTTTCTTATGTGTGGTCAATTAGAGATTGTGTGCGGATGCTCCTCTCCTGATATTATGGTCTAATTCAGGTTTTTAGAACCAAAGAAGTCAGTTTTTAAGTGAGGAGAGAGGTGGTTTAGAAAATGGGAAGAACTCAGGCTTCTTCAGCTTCAGGTTCTTAATAGCAAAAGGGATTAGGCTCCAGATGCCACCTACCATTTTATAAATAAGTGGAGATAAAATGTGACTATAGCAGTCTCAGGTTTTTCAATAATAACTTCTGTATGAAAGTGTGAAGATACAAATAAAATGTATGATTAAAAAAAAAACAATAAAATAGTATGCCTGGCACAACTGGGAGGGGGAGGGAAAGAAAGGAGAATAGAGTATGAGAAATAATAGAAATTAGCTTCAGTTAAGTTTCAGGAATCTACTGTGTGCTCGAGAGACCCTGGCCCACAGCCTGTCCTCTCCTTTGCAATGAATTGTCTGTTTGTTACTCACAATGTTTTATTCAGCATAATCTACCAAAGTAAGAATATTGACAGTGATAAGAGAAAAAGAAAATCCTAAAGGTCTTGATTTAGAATAAGGAAGGATTATTATGGGAAGACCCAAGTAGACTGGAAATACCCCTGGTTTTGACAACTGAAGATACTGTGACATGTACTTGGTCTTCATGGTAGACTTAGTCCGTCCTTCCTTCCTCCTTTCCTTCCTTTTTCTTTCTAAGATTTTATTTAAAGCACGTGCTGCATGCAGGAGGAGGGGCAGAGGGGGAGAGAGAATCTCAAGAAGACTGCCTGCTGAGCAAGGAGCCCAACTCGGGGGTTGATCTCATGACCCTGAGATCATGACCTGAGCTGAAATAAGAGTCCGATGCTTAAGTGACTGAGCCACCCAGGCGCTGGGGCAGATTTCTTTAAGTGGGCTATTTCATGGTTGGATGGTTACCAGAGTTTATATTCTCTCTGAAAAACTTAAGTGAGGGAAGATGCTTCAGCCAGATTCTAATCTGTGCTTCAGTGGGAAAAGGCCAGAGGAAAAATCCCCCAAATCAGCAGAGCTTCAAGTACATCATTATTGCTCAGTCTCTCACCTTGGTGACAGGAAAGTGTGAGGGGGCCTGAGGTGGAGGTATTCGTATGAACAGCTCTTACACCGAATAAATGTGTATATATTCACAGTGCTGGTTTCTTCTCACTGAGGCAACATACCACCGTAAGGAAAGTTTGGGAGAGAATTTCCTGGAAGCAGCTGGCCTACTTAAGTACCTCAACACAGTGGCTGTTTTTTATCTTTGGCAGATAAGAGGTAGCTGTAGAATATTGTATTGGAAGAGAGAGTCTTGACACCAGTTATGTCAACCTCGGAGGCACTGAGGCAGGTCCTTGCAATGGCTGGCTGTTGCCCCTGGCCCCGCTGTTCCTTCCCTGGCTCTGTCACTCTCCTTCCAAGGGAGGCTGAGCTCTGGCTTAGTGTTAGAGCACATCCTCTGAGCATGTGCACAGGAGGCCGCCATGTCCTTGGGGCATGACTCATTGTCCCCATGGACCTGGCTCCCTCACCACATACAAGCTTTAACCGTAAGGTAGGCTGCCCTGGCTACCTGAAGACTTGGAGACTCTTGCGGGAGGCTACCTCTGTTGAGGACTGGGATTTCTGAAACTTTCCATCTGGGAAAGTTGTTATTAAGTGCAGATTCCCAGTTCCATACCCATTAACTGTGGTTCAGCATGTCTGGTATAGCAATTCTGATGCACAGTGAGGTTTGGGAACTACTGACTTAGAATATTCTCACATGATGAACGTACTACCAAAGGTGTTAGCATAACCAAAGGGACTTTTGATTACTACTTGTCTCCCGATTACAGATCCATGTATTCAGTAAATATCTACTGACTGCCTGTTCTGTGCCAGATACTGAGCAAAACAGTAGGGCTGTAAAACAGTGAACAACACTGACACGGTTTGTGTCCTCATGAAGTGGAAGGAAACAAGTAAATTAGTAATTATGATAAGAGCTATGAAGACCGCAACAGGGTATTATAGGAGAGGATCATGGAGGGAGGAGCAGTGAGTATTTAAAAGAAAAAGCTGGTTAAGGAAGGCCTCTCTGAGGAGGCAGCAATTACAGTGAGACCTAACTTCAAGGGAACCAGACATATGAGGAGCATGTTACACAGGATAAAAACTGGGGCAAAGGCACTGGGACAGGCTCAACTTTGATCCTATTTCAAGAATGGAAGGAAAGGCCAGAGTGGCTGGTGCCTAGCAAGCCCAGGCAAGAGAGGAGTGAGATTAGGCAGGTAGGCACCAGATCATGTAGGCAGGCTTTTGATAACAGATTGAGAGGGAAGGGAATCAGACATTTTGTTGGGAATAGGAGTGTGGAAATGAAAAGAGGTCTAACATCAGACACGAATGTGGGAGTCATTAGCATTTTGATGAAGAGCCACCTGAATGGGTCATCTTGCCTAGAGAGTGGCTCTAGAGAGAGGATAGAGAAGGGCCTCGTAAGAAAGATGAGGAACAGCCAGGACATGAGAGAGTGGGGGGGGGGAGGTAGGAGGAAAACCAGATTATAGGCCTGTGGAAGCCACAATAGGAGAATGCTCAAAGATGTGTCATTGCATCATTGCTGCTGAAGGTCTAGAACACAGTACAATCCCACACAGTAGCCACTAGCTGCAAGTCACTATTAAGGACTCCAGATGTGACTAGTGCAAATTGAAATGTGTGCTTCTCTCTCTCCCTCTGCCTGCCGCTCCCCCTGCTTGTGCTCTTTCTGTCTCTCAAATAAACTCTTTTTTGAAAAGTGTAAAACAGGGCGCCTGGGTGGCTCAGTTGGTTAAGTGACTGCCTTCGGCTCGGGTCATGATCCTGGAGTCCCAGGATCGAGTCCCGCATCGGGCTCCCTGCTCGGCAGGGAGCCTGCTTTTCCCTCTGACCCTCCTCCCTCTCATGCTCTCTGTCTCTCATTCTCTCTGTCTCAAATAAATAAATAAAATCTTTCATTAAAAAAAAAAGTGTAAAACAAATTGTACACCATGGACACCTAAAATGAATTTGATGTTATATGGCAGTTATATTTCAATTAAAAAAATGCACACCAAATTTCAAAGACAGTGTAAAAACAAGAATGAAAAGTATCTTATCAGTACTTTTTTTTTTTTTTTTAAGATTTAACCTATTGTTAGAGAGAGAGAGAGAGAGCACAGAAGGAGGCTCCCCGCTGAGCAAGGTGCCAGACACAGGACTTGATTCCAGGACCCTGGGATCATGACCTGAGCTGAAGGCAGACGCTTAACTGACTGAGCCACCCAGGCGCCCCTCATCAGTACTTTTAAAAGTAATGATTACATGTTGAAACGACAATGTTTGTGATATACTGGGATAAATAAAATTTCACCTGCTTCTTCTTTTTTTTGCAAAATACGGCTGCTAGACATTTTTAATTACACTTGTGGCTTGCGTCATATTTCTCTTGCAGAGTTTGGCAATGTGGAGGTCATTTGCAAACTTGGTAAGAGTAGTACTTGCCTGAGATTAAGTAATACCTAGCAAATTCTTTATACTCAGATGAGACTGAGTCATATCTAATACTGTTATGTCTAAAACTAAATAACAGAACTCACCACCAAAAATCCTTCTAGACTTTTTGATGTGTACATAAGTGATTTAATACTTTCACATAAATTGACAATAGAATATGTACGTATTTACATGAAATCCTTTTAAATCAACTCTCAAATGTGGTTTTTCAGATCTTTTTTTAACCTGTCCCTTTCTTTCCTTTGTCTTCTTTCTTTTCATTTAATTTTTTATTTTTAATTTTAAAAACTTTTTTATTTTAAATTTTTTTTTTTTTTTTTTTTTTTGCCTATCTGGCCAGGAAACTTCATGGTGTTATGGTCAACTTGCCGAACAACCGTGTTCAAATCTGTCACCAACAGGTTCATTAAAAACCTAGCCTGCTCCGGGATTTGTACCAGCCTGGTCTGCGTGCCCTTTGACATCATCCTCAGCACCAGTCCTCACTGCTGCTGGTGGATCTACACCATGCTCTTCTGCAGGGTCGTCAAATTTTTGCACAAAGTCTTCTGCTCTGTGACTATCCTCAGCTTCCCTGCCATTGCCTTGGACAGGTAAGATTGGGTAGTCCAGGGTTCAACGTTTTTTTTTTTTCCGAGTGTATTGAAAAATTAGCATCACAAAGCAAAGGGTGACTAGTCAATGTTCCACATACTGTTAAGTAGTTCACTAATGGTCAATGGAAAGAGAACGAATGTCTGAAATATATGCCTCACAAAAGACACGTTGATTTCACGGCAGCTATGGAAAATAGGACCTTGAGAAAAGACGTGGCATGGGGGGTGGGTTTCATCATGAGGTTGCTGGAGCAGGCTGGATCATGGTGTAGCTTCAGCTTGGTTGGAATTGGTGGTATTTGCGTTGCAATTTGTAGTAGATTGCTCATCTGATTGATAACTCTGCAATTAGTGCTTTTTGATGTAGGATGAAAACATTTCTGGAAGAACAAGGGGACAATTCAGTGGTGATTTAACAAATGATTAGACAGCCCAGTTGGACCTGGCAAGATAATACCAGAATTCCTTTGGAGGATTGATTTCCAAGCCTCTATATTGTGGTGGTGGTTGTTTTCTCTTCCCATCCTCTTTAAAAGGATGTTCACTTGGAAATGAATCATATCTTCGCTACTGCCATTGTACATAATTGGATCAAATTTATCAGGGTCAAGTGTAAAGATCTCCGTAATCAGCAGCTTCCTGCCTTCTCCTTTCGTTGTGAGTACTTCATGAATACAGTTTGAGTTAGTAATACATTTTAGAGAATAGAACTAAATAAGCAAACAAGAGCTGAGGAGTTGCATCCATGAGTACTTTTGATTTCAAGATTTACAGAGAGGAAAAGTTGCTGAGGGGAAAGTGCTGGGTCTTCTGACTTTATCCCCATTGATATATTTTAATGGATTTTACATGAATTTTGAATTTTTATTTAAAAAAAATATTTTATTTATTTATTTGAAGAGAGAAAGAGAGTGCAAGCACAAGCAGGGGGAGCAGCAGGATAGAAGGAGAGGAAGAAGCAGGCTCCCTGCTAAGCAGGGATCCCCATGCAGGACTCGATCCCCAGGACCCTGGGATCATGACCTGAGCCGAAGGCAGACGCTTAACCGACTGAGCCACCTAGGTGCCCCATGAATTTGGAATTTTTGAACTCTTTATCCATTCAAAACATACTTGATACCTTAATGACCTATGAGGGCATGGATTGCAGAACCAATCTGTGGAGTCCCTTCAGCCGCAGGCCTGGAACTCTGATTTGGTCAGCTGCCCTGGGTCATCTGCATGGAGGGACACAGAGACCCACAAAGTCTCCAGCGTACTAGGAGGAGTCATTGACTTTGTGGTTAAGAGAGGGGAGGCTGGAGCCCCAAGTGGCTTGAAGCCCTACCTACACACCGCTTTTGTGCTGGGTTGCTTTGGGCAAAGTGGCTTAACCTTTCTGAGCCTAAGGTTCCTCTGCAGTAAGAAAAACTAAATGAATTATTTATGGCCTGTGCTTGGATAGGCTGCATCAATATTTGTCTGTCTTTCTCTAGGCTTCCCTTTCGATGGGCACATTTTTCCTTAGATATATTGTCTGCAATCATTGTACCGTCAGATCTGGCTGGGAGCCACTGTAGCTCTTTGGAAGTTTCTCAGTAGATCACCACCTCCAGGGGAAGGTGAAGCAGGTGACAAAGCCAAGTGTCACTGGCCAGGTTGGGGTTTTGTGTCTGCATTCCTGCTCATAGGGGTCAATAACCCAGCAGATGCAGCTAATAGTTACTTTGTGGGTATCTAGACTCTGTAGGCAGGACTTTCTATTTTCTTAGAAGAGAAATCAGAAATCTGGAGTTTTACCATTTTTATTTATTTATTTTTTTGTTCCCTCTCTCACTATGTCTCTGTCAAACAAATAAAATCTTTAAGATTTTATTGTATAAGTGATCTCTACACCCAATGTGGTGCTCGAACTCACAACCCTGAGAGCAAAAGTCGCGCACTCTACTGACTGAGCCTCCAGGTGCCCTGAATTTTATTGTTTTTAAATGTTGTCGACTAATTTTCATTCAAAAAAGATTCCGTGGGTCACTCAATCCCTTCAACAAGCTGAGGGTGCTCCATGCGATGCCATTTTGCTGCGTGTGTCTCTTTCATGCTTGGCAAGAGGTCTCTGAATATCTGGAAAGTACACTTTCACCCTAAGAAGAGACCACCTGCTCATTTACAGTCATTCCCCGCCCCCCGCCCCCCGCAGATCTAGGCAACCACTAATCTATCTCTGTATGTTTGCTTTGCTGGGGGGCGGGGGACATTTCATATTGTGGAATCATGCAGTGTGTTCTTTTGCATTGGCCTTTCATGTTTTCAAGGTTCATCTGTGCCCGAGCACCGGTCCTTCATCCCTTTTTCCTTCATCCCTTTTGCTATAATTGACATACAGCAATATATAAGTTTAAGGTGTACAGCAAGATGACTGGACTTACATTGTGGAAGGACTACCAGAGTAAGTTCAGTTAACATCCATCATGTCATACAGATATGGAAAAAAAAGAAGGAAATGTCTTTTTTTTTCTTGTGATGAGAACTCTTAGGATCTACTCTTAAAAATTTGCCCCGTTCCTTTTTTTATTACTGAATAATATTCCATTGTATGGATATTGTTTGCCCATTTACTGGTTGACATTTGGGTTGTTTCCACTTTTTGGCTCTTGTGAATAATGCTGCCGTAATAATCCTGAAAGATTTTTACAACAGGATGCAACAACAGTGGGGACACATTATTCTGAATCATTTGCTACCATGCCTTGAAGCAGTGCAATAATCCCCGTGGGTGGTTTCTGGGCCTTTAGTCTTAGACAAGAAAATACGTAGATGATATGAAATCCTTATTTTCTTTCCAGCACAGAAAATCGATTGTATTTTTGCTATTACTAAAAAAAAAAAGTAAACACATCTTTTTAGTAGAAAAAGAAGGCTGGTACAAAAAAATCCTATTTTAGGGCTCCTGGGTGGCTCAGTTAAGCGACTACCTTCAGCTCAGGTCATGATCCCAGAGTCCTGGGATCGAGTCCCACATCGGGCTCGCAGCTCAGCGGGGAGCCTGCTTCTCCCTCTGACCCTCTCCCCTCTCATTGCTGTTTCTCTCTCTCTCTCAAATAAATAAATAAATAAATAAAATCTTTAAAAAATCCTAGTTTATTATGCAGGGAAACCAATTGCTGGCAAGTGTAGGCTGGTGGGCATGAAGGTGAAGGGAAGACAGTCCTTTCTCTCACTTCTTTCTCACTCAGATACTTGTTTCCTGGCTCCTAGTCAGTGAGTTCATTGGGAGGCCACTTCCTGCATCATCTTCTAGAGATGTAAACATAAACAAGATGATTTCTAATGAGCCCGTGTGCTTTTCCAGTACATAGTGGAAGCATGGTTTTGTTACCTGTCAGTTGACCAATGGGAATGTATTCATGTGTGGGTGTAGCACCTTGACATTGGATTTTTTTTGTTTTTTGACATTGAATTAAGGAGTTGTGATTAGAAAAGTGTATCTATATTCAGAGAAAAAAAAATTGAGAGCATGCATAACCTATGCACTTCTTTCTCTTTTTTTCCTCCTCCCAGAAAGAGGTCTAGGACCCATTTCACCACTCTCCATCCATTCCTGATCATCCATGGTCATGTTGTGCTTACATTGCATCTTCCTCAGCCTGGAACATTCTCCCCCAGCTTGCCCCCTGCCAGACCACCACAGTGCCACCTTCTGTTGACATTTTTCCAGGTGCTCCTTTTCCCGTCCCTCCTTTGTGCATACCTCTAGAAGAGCAATCATTTCCTTGGTTATACCTGCTCGCTTGCATGCCTTTTCCCCCATGGGGTTTAGAAATATTGCTGTGTGTCTTTTCATCTTTGTAACTCAGTGCCTGGTACAGTACCTGGCACAGATCTCATGCCAGGAAGACATGCTTGCTTCCCTGGCCCCATGAGCGATGAATGTTAATAGAGTTGTAAGGTCGACTCCAGATTTGGCTGACTGTGGAGATGTATGCTCACCATAGGTCTGATGGCTCACCACAGCGCTTTCATGACAGATGTGGTTCCTGGGGTCTGAAGAATTACTCAGTTTCCCTAAATCATGGGTGATACTGAAACAGGGTGCTTTTGGAATTCTGATTACAGACGAATCAAGTGAAAGCTTGAAGAAAGAAAGGTCTGATCTGATTTTAGCAAAAATCTAATCATGCAAGCATTGTAGACTTACTAATTGCTAGGGTTACGAGTGATCATGAACAGTGAGTGAACAGTGGCTGTTGAGCAGGCATAATTTTTGTCAGTTGAATTGATTTTTTTTAATGTTTTATTTATTTATTCATGACAGTCAGAGAGAGAGAGAGAGGCAGAGGCAGATGGAGAAGCAGGCTCCCCGCCTAGCAGGGAGCCCGATGCGGGACTCGATCCCAGGACCCTGGGATCATGACCTGAGCCGAAGGCAGACGCTTAACCATCTGAGCCACCCAGGCGCCCCAGTTGAATTGATTTTTGTGCAAGGACCTTGTTGGAGTCCGTCCTTCACACGGGGTTCTTCTGCCCTGAGCAGCTATAAATGCTAATGATATCCACGTATGCACTATGCCATGAATCTGCTTTAGATATGTGTGTAGGCAAATTTCTTTCCATTAGTGGCTTTGAAAATTGCCCATAAGCTCCTCTAGCCCATGTAAAATTTTTTTTACAAGTTACCCTTAAATTGACATTTTTTTACAAGAGACCCTTAAATTGAAAAATCTATGTCTTTACAGCAGATGGAGACATCCTTTATATCAAGGGCACTCCTTGGGATCTAATGCTGGTGGCAATATTTATAAAGTTAGCTATGAAATGCAATTATTTACCTATTTTCCTGATAGTCTTGAGTGTCCCTCCCATACGACGGGGCTCTTCTCTGCTCACTTGAAAAGGTCCTTTTTTTAAAAAAAAATTTTTTTTGGCCTAATGATGCTTTTTGTGTACAGCAAAGTCCTCAAAACTTAAGGTCTGGCTTCCCAATTCCCTCAGTGATTCCCTTTGTCTGAGGCAGAATAAAAGAACTTGACCCATTCTTTCCCCCTCTCTCCTACTTTTGGTAATATAGAGACCCCTCATTTAAACAGTACCTTCTCCTGTGAGATGAACTTTGCTTGTGCATTTTGCAGGTACTACTCCGTCCTTTATCCCCTGGAGAGAAAAATATCTGATGCCAAGTCCCGCGAACTGGTGATGTACATCTGGGCCCACGCAGTGGTGGCCAGCGTGCCCGTGTTTGCAGTGACCAACGTGGCCGACATCTACGCCATGTCCACCTGCACCGAAGTGTGGAGCAACTCGCTGGGCCACGTGGTGTACGTGCTGGTCTATAACATCACCACGGTCATCGTGCCTGTGGCTGTGGTCTTCCTCTTCCTGATACTCATCCGCCGGGCCCTGAGCGCCAGCCAGAAGAAGAAGGTCATCATCGCGGCCCTGCGGACCCCACAGAACACCATCTCTATCCCGTACGCCTCCCAGCGGGAGGCGGAGCTGCACGCCACCCTGCTGTCCATGGTGATGGTCTTCATCTTGTGTAGCGTGCCCTACGCCACCCTGGTCGTCTACCAGACCGTGCTCAACGTCCCCGACACGTCCGTCTTCTTGCTGCTCACGGCCATTTGGCTGCCCAAGGTGTCTCTGTTGGCCAACCCTGTGCTCTTCCTGACTGTGAACAAGCCTGTCCGCAAGGGCTTGGTGGGCACGTTGCTGCAGCTGCACGGGCGCTACAGCCGCCGGAACGTGGTGAGCGCGGGGGGCGGGCCGGCCGGCGCCAGCCTGGAGCCCAGCCTGCGCTCGGGCAGCCAGCTCCTGGAGATGTTCCACATCGGGCAGCAGCAGATCTTCAAGCCCGCGGAGGATGAGGAGGAGAGCGAGGCCGGGCACACTGGCTCCGCGGAGCTCCCGGCCCAGGAGCCAGCGGGGCCCCGCCTGCAGGGGGAGCGCGGCCCGCAGCGTGCACCTGCTGCGTCTCTCCCGCGCGCCGCCGACCCCGTTTGCCCGGGGGCGCCTGCGGCACCTGCGGAGCCCGAGACGCTGCCTGACAAGTACTCCCTGCAGTTCGGCTTTGGGCCTTTCGAGTTGCCTCCTCAGTGGCTCTCAGAGACCCGGAACAGCAAGAAGCGGCTGCTTCCGCCGCTGGGGAACACGCCGGAGGAGCTTATTCAGACAAAGATGCCCAAGGTAGGCAGGGTGGAGCGGAAGATGAGCAGGAACAATAAAGTGAGCATTTTCCCAAAGGTGGATTCCTAGTCAGGACTGCCGAGCTCCCATACTCCTGCCTTCCCTTCACTCTGGCTAGCCCCAGGGTTTGGGGTATCTCATTGTAACCAGGAACCGGCTGCCTCCTCCTGCGTGGGCCCTCCTGAATGAGAGGGAAATCTTTAGAAGATCAGTTGTCCTCTTTATTGAGGGAGTCTACGTATGTGTCTCTGTGATCTGTGTCCTTGGTGAAGTGTGCATTCCTCTCTGTGGAGACAAAAGGTGGGCAGTATGCAATGGGTCTTGGGATGGATACTCCATGTGCGTTTTCCGAGGACTCCTTGATTCCTGGGCCCGGCAGGGAGTAAGGGAGAGAAGAACATCTGTGAGCTCGAAGGGAGCAGGGGCACCCTGAGGGAAGCCCAAGATAATTACGGAGTGGTGTGGCCACAGAGAAAAGGCCTATTTGATTGACTCAAGTAGGACAAATATTAAAAAACGTTTCATATTGATATGTATCTTCAGGGGAGATAGGGACTTGGCATTTGACACCTTTTCTCTGGAAGGCCTGATCGGATGAATCAGTTTCTCCTGAAGCTCTTCATCTCTTTCACTGGGATGTAGATGAAGAAAGGCGTTTCCACCCCCATTTGACAGACAAGGCAATAGGTGGGCCTGGGGGTCAGGGAGGAGATATTCTGTCTCGAATATCCTGATATTCTCCTGGCACCACTGAAAGCCTCAGAAAGTCTGTCTGCAGTGTTGGTTGGAAAACACTACAAGTGCTTTACTATGTCTTTCCCCCTAAATTGCATTTTTTTCAGTCAACGAGAGAGAAGCTAAGAGGTAGAGAAGAAAGGCAGAAATGTCCATACCCTGTAGTCTCTTCTCTTCCAATGTTGATTTCATGTGAAAGGGGCCATGTCACCATCAGTAAGAGTGAAGTATATTGAAAAAAAATTACCTTGCGCCAACTTTTGGAATTAAAAGGTAATTTAAAAATGCAGAGTTAGTGTAAACTGGGTCCTCTAGAAACATAAAAATACTTGATTAGGAAAGGTGATGCTGCCAGAAGAGTGAGAGAAGTCAAAGATGGCTTCCTTCTGATGAGGACTCCAGAACCCAGGTGTGGTCAGCCTCATGTTCAGTCTCTTTTTGCAACTATGGTTCTCCCTTCATTTTGGACACAAAGGAGGAAGAGGACAGGGAGAAAGATTTTAATCATTTTAAAATGCCCAGGTGGCACCTAGCCCGGGGGAGCCCTTCACTTCCTCTTTTCTGGTAAAGTTTTAGCAGGAGTCAGAGTGGATAGAGGAGGAGGACAGTGTCCTCAACAGATTAGCCTCCTGGCGGGGGGTGGGGGGGTGAGGGTGGGCTCTCACAAGCAATTCAAGTCTTCTCTGGGGTGGATTTCACCAGGCTAAACTCAAACCATTGATGACACTTCCCTTTTAATGATGGCAGATCACGTGCCAGTTCCACTCTTCTCTCTAGGACATTTTGTTCTTGGTAATAGTATGTTGGCGGGGTGGGGGGGTGGGGGGGGCAATCCAGTGCCTTGAGCAAGCTTGAATGAAAGTGGACATTCTCACCGGCAAACTTCCTTCCACATCCCAACGGCAGTGGCTCTCATGGATCACTTCCTAAAACCGCACTGACCTGTTGTCCCTCTGAGGAAGCTCAGGCTATGTGTAGGGAGTTTCCTTTTCCTGTTCTCTTCCTGGGTGTGGTGTCTTGTGATTCCAGAATATGAACCCAAAGTCCCTTCCCCGGGAGAGGGAAAGCCTTCCTCTTCGTGTTGTGTCTCCTTGCCGTGTTGTGTGCACTCAGCACAAACGGGGGGCTGCCACACCCTCTCGGCGCCCCCCACCTCCCAGGCCCTTTGTGCATGCCCTGATAGTTAACTGTGGCCCTTCAGGCTTATCTTTCAAAACCTTCACATTGTTACAACGTTTCTCCAGGGGAAACATAATTTGTCAGAAAATTGTGTTTAGAAGAACCCGTCAAATGTAGCCACTTTGGTGGTGTTCTGATAATATATATGTACATCTTAACACATTCTGGTGAGGCAGAATTTGGGAGTTATTTCTTATGTATGTTTGAAGCGGATGGTTGACTTCTAACAGGTCATTGCCAGATGTATTTCTATAGTCTTTGAAGAATTCCGTTTTAATAAAAAACTGAAAAGCCGTTTCTGAACTCAAAAAAAGTTGAATGAGCTTCGTTTTTTTTTGTTTCTTTCTTTCCCTCTCATGTGGGCATATTAATGTAAATGCTGAATGTTGATTTAATGAAAATTACAATGATAATGGGAAGGTAGAGGAGAAGTAGAGGGGATGATTATGCAGGAGAGCAATGTCCTCATTTACCCTGACAGGATGCAAATGATGTCCAGAGTGGATGATGCAAAACAGAGTAGAATACACATATTTAGAAATACGGAGATGTGTGACTGTGGCTGAAACTATTGCAGGTCCTTGTCTCTGGGACTGTTTTCGGTGTTTGTTTTAGGCCTTTTGGTTATATTTTAAAACAGTCTACATGTATAGATAAAAATACAAATCAACTTAAAAACCTTCTGAGTTTTGCAGCACATCATCAGAATAAGCAAAAGAAAAGAGAAGAAACCATAAGCGTCATTAAAGGGAATTGAGAAAATAAGACAATTTAGGCTTTCAGAATCAGAGTAACCAATGGCTTTCTGCTGATACGCTCAAATAATGTCGGTTTACTCGGATAATTCCTTTGGTTCGGGTCTATGAACTGGGCAGCTACAGGCTATTCTGAATTCCATATTTTCTCAGTAACCAAGAAGTAATATTTTTTTCCTTTTTTTGTGTGTATTCACTAAAGTACATTTAAGAATTATTGCTACTTTCGGGGTGCCTGGGTGGGTCATTCGGTTGGGCATCTGTCTTCGGCTCGGGTCATGAACCTGGGGTCCTGGGATCCAGCCCCGCATCAGGCTCCCTGCTCATCAGGGAGGTCTGCTTCTCTCTCTTCCTCTCCCTCTTCCCTTGCTCGTGTGCTCTCTCTCTCTGTCTCTCAAATAAATATAATCTTTAAAAAAAAGAATAATTGCTACTTTTTAAGAGCAAGTTTTTAAGTAACGCTAGTTTACTTCAGAAATTTATTTTTTTTATTTTTTATTTTTTTTAAAGATTTTATTTATTTATTTGACAAGAGAGACAGCGAGAGAGGGAACTCAAGCAGAGGGAGTGGGAGAGGGAGAAGCAGGCTTCCCGCTGAGCAGGAAACCTGATGTGGGGCTCAATCCCAGGACCCTGAGATCATGACCTGAGCCGAAGGCAGTCGCTTAACCAACTGAGCCACCCAGGCGCCCCTACTTTAGAAATTTAGGACCCACCTAGTATTTCACATTGATAGAAAAATACTGAATTTAATGAATTCACCTATTCTGGAATTTGTTTACTTATTTATAATGTATGTTCCCATCTACTTAAGACAATATCTAAAGTGAACACAATATAAGTACCTTTGCATTAACTACTTCCAGTCATTAGAATATTACCTAGAGGATCTCAAGTAGTTTTAATTTATAATACTCTCTGTCTTAAAGTTTATTCCCTTGGCAGCATTTGGCTTCTCAGTGCCTGCTTTGTGTTTATATATGATGTTTCACTGGAGGATATTAAAGCACAGCTCACAGACTTTCTGTAGGCAATGATATAATCTCTATTCTGCAGCTGGGGAAACCAGAGGCACAGATGGCCAAGTCATTAGCTCTCAGAGATGAAGCAAGTAGAGACAGAGCTAAAAACAGTACAGAAGGCGTCACGGCCCGATTCTTCCACTGCACCCTCCGAAGTACTGATGATTATCATCCGCTGTTACGATCGTTATTTTTGAATACCCACTTGGCACATATTATTAAACTGTACTGGGGACTGGATTAAAGCCCTTAATGCCTGACAGCTGTTTTTCTCAACGTTATTCCTCAAATTTTCCTTCAGCTCCATGATTTCCCCAGCTTCATTGTAGAGTAATTGGGTGCAGAGTAAATGTTAAGAAACTCTTAATGGAATGCAAAGATAGCCATCATTCGGCTGAGAGTATTCACAGACATCGTCTTCTGCCTCGTGTCCTCCTTTCTATTTCTGCACCGAGGTCACCTTTAGTTTAAGGGTCATTGCCATCAAAGCACTCTCAGCCATCACCAACACTCCCGCAGGGACACTCGACACTGTTTTCTGCAAGTATCTGAAATGTTTACAAGATTCATTCATTCAGAACAGTAAATATTACTGCATTTAATGATGCTATTATAGTGGAGTAGAAAGTACTCAAGATATGGTTCCTGCCCTCTAGATGGCTTGGGGGAGAGAAGAAAGCCCCTATAAGAGACAGCAGTAAATGCTCAAGTGCTAACAAGAAGTGCTGAAGGAAAGTGAAAATTACGTTTTACTGTGTGCATTTTAGCGATTTTATTCGATGGATGACAAGGTTTTTCTTTAAATTCAGGAAATGTCTCTCCATAAAAATGCCTGTTTACTTCACATAATCATAGCACTTAAAATATGGAGGATCTTAGCCTACTTAAAATATGAAGAAATCGGGGCCTAGGAGATGGATTTTTTTCCAAGACCTTGGACCGGAACTCATAATTAAAAAAATTTTATTTATTTGAGAGAGAGCACAAGCGGGGGCGGGGAGGGGCAGAGGGAGAGGGAGAAACAGACTCCCTGCTGAGCAGGGAGCCCGATGCAGTGCGGGACATGGGGCTCGATCCCAGGACCCTGAGATCATGACCTGAGCCGAGGGCAGATGCTTAACCAGCTGAGCCACCCAGGTACCTCTGGAACTCATGATTTTATTTTTTTAATTTTTATTTTTTTAATTTTTAAAGATTTTATTTTATTTATTTGACAGAGAGAACGCGAGAGAGGGAACACAAGCAGGGGTAGAGTGAGAGGGAGAAGCAGGCTTCCCGCTGAGCAGGGAGCCTGATGTGGGGCTCGATCCCAGGACCCTGGGATCATGACCTGAGCTGAAGGCAGACGCTTAACGACTGAGCCACCGAGGCGCCCCTGGAACTCACGATTTTAAAATATGCCTAATCCATAAGCAAGATGTGGGGAGTGGAGACCAGTGATTTTTATAAATGTCTTTTTCATGATGAAATGTAAATAATTCAGTAGATAGCCAGTTGAGAGGATGAAGAAATACTTTGCTAACTAAGGCGTTCCATTTTGCTATCTGCTACTTGTTGCAGATAGGTAACTACTACTTGGCACTTAGAAATCCCCCTTACTGCTGACACTTTCTGAGTGGAGGTGAAAAGTTGGAAGGGATTCATATGACCACCTAGCCCCTGCCCCTAGCAAGATCACTAGACATGATTAGAGAAAGGCTGAAAAACTCACTTGCTCAGAAATGGTTTTCAGGAGGATTTGACTCAGTACATGACCAGTGAAAGGTGGACAAATGAATGCATGAATGCAAGTGTGCCACCTGAATACAAAATCCCTCCAAATTTGGGCCAAGGTAACAGTTTCTAGATTCATAACAAAAAACAGTTGACAATTTTCATAAAAATACCAAGTCATCTGTAGCAAAACATGTAAGATCCCAGGACCTGGAGATTATGACCTGAACCGAAGGCAGTCGCTTAACCATCTGAGCCACCCAGGTGCCCCTAATTTTTCTATTTCTACAAAGTAAGGAAAAGTGCTCAGGAGTTACCGACCCATTAATCAATGGAGGGGCTGGTAAATTGAAGCCTGCAGAAGTGAAGGGCCTTGTCTTTCTGAAGTCAACAGTAGAGGGGGATGCAAATCCAGATCTCAAAACCTAAACCAGTTTTCAATTTATTCAGTTGCATCATGCTATAAAATAGGGCACATCTTTTGTCGTTTTGCTGTTTAATTCTTTACTTGTAGATTGCAGAGGACAAGACTGATGGCTGTTACTATAACCCAGATGTTTGTAAACAGGTAGTTCTTGCTGTCCAGCCTGTTGAGCAGGTGTCTTTTGTGCTGGTAAGGATACTGTTGCAGCTCGGCCTGGGACACACAGAGCAGGTAGTTTCCAGAGGGAACCAAGCCTGCTTAAATTGGGTGATCACAGTCTCAGAGCTGAAAGCAAGCTTAGAAGACTTTACCCAGCCCTTATTTTACCAAACAGGTTGAGGGAGGTCAAAAGATCAGGCCCAGGTCAACTCTTTGCAGAGCCCTGATGAGAAACCAGGGATGCATAATTTAAAATGGTTTTTATGTGTCAATGTATGAATTACATAACAATGTATGAATTATATAACATTTTGAGCCAAATTAGAATATCAATTCTAGTTTGT